AGGAACGACGTGTTTGTAGTGTATCACTGTTGTTTCTATATATATATATATATATATATATATATGCGTATATATGCGTGTGCGCGTGTGTTTGTGTGTATCTTTGCTGTATGCTCCCGCCGTACTCGCAATGCTGCGACTGACGTGGCCCAATGGAGGGAAAGGCGGTGAACAAGGAACGTGGGTGAAGTGGGGAGGGGGCGCTGCTGCTGCTGGTACGCCTCTTTTTTCTGCTGTCATCCCACGCACAGGCTGCGCGGGGTGGGTTTTTGCAACGCCATCTTCTGCGTAACTGGTCCTCTTTCTCTTTGCCGCGAAGGCGCACCATTCCGCTGTGGCGGAGAAGGGCGAAAGCAGCGCAGAGTCATATACAGTGAGTGACCAAAAGGGAGTAATTTTTTTTAAAAATACAAGCGACATATGTGTATATACATTGACGTTTCTGCTTACATTTAAATAAAAAAGAACCCCACAAACCACAGTCTAGCTTTTTGTTTATTTATTATTGTTTTTCAAGTCCGTTTTTCTAGTCATGAAACTCGGATCCCACAACGTTAAGGAGTTTTGGGCTAATGCGTGGGCGACGCATAATACGGGGTGGAAGACGTGGGAGCAGCTTGCCTCCTTCACACGCATCCTGACCGCATTCCTGCACGGCGCGGGTTTCCTCTCCGCGGAGGAGCAGGCCGAGGCGGAGAGGCAAAAGGAGGGCGCGTATGGGGCCGTGTCCCGCTTTTTGGCGGGGAAAACAGCCTTTGTTCCACTGTGCGGCGACTCTGCGGCTCTGGCGTACATGGTCGGCTGCCGGGTCAAGCACGTTGTTGCTGTCGACCTGAGCGAGGAGGCGCTAACCACACAGCGGCAGGTGAAATTCCCAGATTTGCAGTTTCAAACGACGCGGCTGGAGCCCGCCGAGGGGGCCACGGAAGGGATCGAGGTGCACGAGGCCACGATGGACGGCAGCCGCATCACGCTCTTTCAGGGAGACCTCATGCAGCTGCCCCGCTTCAAGGCGTACTGTGAGCTGGAGGTGGACTTTCTGTTTGACTGCGCCTCCATGATGGCGATCCCCGCCGGCCTCCGCGGCGCGTACGTGAAGGCGGTGACGAGCGTGCTCCGCCCAAGCTCGGTGGTTGCCTACCAGCAGGCGGTGCGGCGACTACCGGAAGAGCGCGACTGGGGTCCGCCCTTCATGGTGGACATGGATGAGGTGCTACAACTGTATCGGCAATACACGGGGCGGGAGTATAAGGCCACGCCCGTCCTGAATTTGGACGTGGAGGGCAAGCTTTACCCACAGTGGTACGCGATTCTGCCGCAAAATTAGGAGCGCGTCATGTACTTTGTTTTCAGCATCGTGGCTGAGAAGGGGAGCAGGGCAAATGCGTGTGTCCGAGGCAACGGAGGGAGTTTTTTCTTTTAAATTGTTTGTGTGTGTGTTTTTGCTTTTGTTTTCCCCTCCAGAGGCGGAAACAAAGGTGAGGTGATATAGCGTAGGGGCGTGCGTGTGTGTGTTGGTGTTGGGGAAGGGGAGGGGAGGGGGCGATGCAAAATACAAAAGAAACAAAAACACATGCATGTATATATACATCAATGAGATAGGACAACGTGCCGTGCACTGCCTGTGCGTGTGGCGTGGGCTTCAACCAGGGGCGTCGTTCTGTCTGCGTTTCCGTTGCTAGCTGAGGTGAGTAGGCAGAGGCGCCACAATGGCCCAACGCGTCACTATTCCTGACGACTGCGTCTACGAGGGATACGGCAGCCTTTTCCGCGGAGAGTCGGAGGTGGCGCCGCCTCTGCCGGCCTTGGAGGAACGCGACGGCAGTGGTGTTCTCTGTGGCCCTCTCGAGCACGCAGAGGCGCTGCGGCAACTTCGCACTGCCCTCCGCGTCGACGTGCCCCCGCAGCTGAGGGCGCCCACGCCGGAACAGGCGTTCGACGAATTGCCCTCAGCGCCGGCAAAGCCGTACCTGTTGTTCTGTCCCCCAGCCGCAGCGCCGTTGGGGCCATTGCCTTCGTCCTCCGCATCGGGGACACGGCACGAGATGGAGCGAATGAAGTCGCAGTGCCGCTTTTTACGCGACTGGTTTATGTGCCATGAAACCCCTGGGGAACGCGCGGCGGCGAGGGAGTTTGCACGCACGGCGCAACATCTCCTGCGGAAGGAGTCGGTGGATGAGCTGCTGGGTCGCACCGACAGCCTGCTGCAGCAGTTGGAGGACTGGCCCGGTGTGGTGGACAAGGTCCGCTCCCACGCAGTGGGGTGGAAGAGCGACGCCTCGTTGAGGGAGTTGCACGACTTCGCCAGGGATGTATTGGAAACAGATGAGGTTTGCATGCAACTGGCGAAGTTGACGCGCCGTTTCTCGCTGCTTGCGCCCCTGCTGGAAGAGGCGGCCTTCCGCGCGGCGGCGCTGGAGGAAATTGGGCAGTGGTCCTCCGAGAGTGTTGTTGCCTCACTGCAGACCCTGCGGGACTCCATTTGGGGCTGGCAGACGAGGCTGGCTGAGGACCAGCAGAGCGTGTTGGATAGTTCCCAGTCGCTGCTGGAGCGCCTCATGGCCGTCCAAAATAAAAGGAGGGGTGTGTGAGGGGAATTGACATATATATATATATATATTCTCCCCCCCACCCCCCCGGGTTTTATTTCTATTTCCTCCTTCTTCTTCTTTTTGGTGTGCGTTGTGCGCCTCCACGAGCCGCCATGTATATATTCTTGTTTTTTGTTGTGCCTTCCCCTTTTCGACGCCGCCTCGATTGGACTGCGCTCTGTTTTGCCCCCGCCTTTTCATTCTTCTTTAGCCACACACAGTTTTCGCAGATGTCTCTCGTGGCGCTGGCGGCCGTGGACGAGGAGCTGGCGGAGGACGTCTTCTTCACCTTCCGCGTGCTTTCTGAGGGCGGGGAGGCGCATGTCCCGCCCTGCTTCATCATGGTTGCCGCGCGGGAGATGGGCTACTACCCCACCTCGCCCTTTCTGCGCAGCTGCTTGCTGGACGTCACCGGGCGCAGCAAACGCCTGACGTATCCGCTATTTCTGCAGCTCTGCTCCGCGCTCGAGCCGACGCGGGCGCTGAGCCCGGAGACGGTTGCGCAGTGCAAACGGGCCTTTGACATCCGCGGCTCTGGCACGTTGAACCGGAGCGAGTTCCGCACCATCCTGGCGTCCTCCGCCGCGGCGGACGTGACGTCGAGCGAGGTGGAGGCCATCGTGGAGCTGTTGGACCCGACCCACACCGACGTCATTCAGCTCTACGCGGTGCAGCTCATTTTGCTGCGGTACCTCGCCAGGGACGCCGCGCCGTGTGACGACGTCGGCTACACCCCGCGGAGCGCGCGCGCGGCGACGCGAGGAGCGGCTGCTGCCGCCGGCGATCCCCGCCTGCGGCCCCTTGCGCCGAACTTGGGCGACGGCGCCCCGAAGTCGGGCCTGCGCGTCGCCGGGGGCGGCCGCGGGAGGTGCTGGGAGGAGGCGGGGCCACGGGGGGCGGCGGGGGACGGCGTTGGCGGCAGCAGCCGCTCCTCGCGTGGCCGTGGGAGCGCGACGCAGGCGAGGCAGCAAACGTCACCCGCCGCAACGGCGCCGGACGACGCCTCGGAGGACGCCCCAAAGGCGGCGCCGTCCTTCCCCCCGCCGAAGACGCCCGTGCCGTCGCCGTGCACAAGCGGCCCTGTCACGCGGGCCACGAGCCTGCAGCAGTCACTGCCACTCCGTGAACGGCACTCCGCACGCCTAGAGACGTCGGCGCCGCGCAGTGAAGCCGCAAATAGACCCTCGCTGCTCATCGACGGTGTGGAGAAGACCTGCGAGACGCAAACGCCCCCGTCGTTGCCGCCTCCGGACATCTGCCGCACTCTGCAGCGACCAGACGCCAAGGATGGAAAAGTGACGTGGCCGCCGGAGGAGGGTGTCCCGTCGGTTCTGCATGAGAGCCGCCTCTTCGGAAGTCACGCGAGAGAGACGCTGCCGGAGGTTCCGCTAGAGCAGTTGAGGGAGGTTCCCGTGTCCGACCCATGCAGCGTCAGCAACACCAGTGGTGCTGGGCCTTTGCAGGACGACGGCGCTGCTGCCGTGGCGCGTTTCGCGGAGCGGCAACCCACGCAGGGACCACAGGGTGCTGCCGATGAAAACACTTCTGCGTCAACGGCGACGAAAAGGAAGAGGAAGGTATGGTCCTGTGGCTGCTGCGCTCAGTCCTAGAGAGTAAGTCCTCCCTCCCCTCCAACAAAGGGGTGAGAGAGAGAAGAAAATATACCGAAGCGTATGTCCTTTTTTTGTTTGTCTGCCTATCGTGGTTCTATAGATATACATATGTGCTGAGATATATATGTATGCGCATTTTAAACCTGTTTGGTTGCAATTTACCTCCGCGCCCGCCCTCCCCCTCCCTCTCCCTGTGCGTAAATGTGTGGTGGCTCCCGGTCAAGTGTGTGTGTGTGTGAGGGGGGGGGGGCGTGTGGGATTGGCCACGGCTATCGGCAGTGGCGTAACAAACAACCACACACATGTGTGCACGTGTGTTTTTGTCCCTCCACTATTTATTTCTCTCCTTGTTTTTTTTTTAAAAAAATGGACACTTGTTCTCGCCGTTTTTCCTGCCGTCTTCGCGGTGGCCCGCCCGCCACACTTCGCTTGCACTTCACGCTACTCACGTGTGTGTGTGTGTGTGTATGTATGCCCGCCGACATCGACCCCTTTACGTTTGTGAAGTTCTTTTTTTTTCCTCCCCCCCCCCCCGGTCCGTGTAGCTTTCAGGGCCGGAGCTGTAGGAATATAAATATATATTTATATTTATAAATATAATTATATATACACACGAGTCTCTCTATTATTCCAAACTTTGCAGGGGAGGTTGCGGGTATGCAGCGGGCGCTCTCCAGGGAGCATCTGAGCGAATTCGCCCACCATGCCGTCAGCGGCCTGCGGCGGCTGGTGAATCCTAAGTCACCCCCCACCACCGTGGCGCAGCAGGAGCTTGTCTCCACCTCCAAATCAATAGAGGAGTCCTGGCGAAAAAAGCGAATCGTCTCAGACACAACGTTATTGGACATGTGGGCGGCAGAGTTTCAGGGGGAACTGATTGCGCAATTGGAACAGTACACGACGGGCGACGCCCGCAGCGAAGGCAACGGCCACGTAGCAGGCAGTGACGGTGCCGCTACTCCCGCTTTAGCGGGGCCTTCATCAGAAAATAAGGGTGAAACACGCAATTTCATTGGAGAAACTTCCATGCTAACATGCACGGAGGCGCTGAAGATCCTTATTCGGACCAACGGGGAGAATGCAGCCGAACTCTTTACTCGTTACGACTTGGTACGTTACATGACAAGATACTTAATGCAGGTTCCTATGAGTAAGAAGATGCGGGACACGCTTGCTTCCGTCTTGTTGGAGATTGTCGGGTACAACTCCAGGCTTTTAAAGGAAGCTCTCGCCGTGAGCCAGGAACTTCTAGTTTTTCCCGGGGATGCCAATAGCGGGCATGTGGCGACTTCACAACAGTTACAGCTGGCAGGCTTGCTTGCGGCAGCGTTTCGTCGAGTTGACGTGCACAAAGTCCCTGTCGATAGCGTCCGGCTCAAATGTGGGCGCGACGGCTTCCTGTCCGGGCTTATTCGTACTTGTTTAGTTATTGCCACCGGAGACGCCGGGGGGGCGAGCGGCGGGGCCCAGGTTACCGCCTTGTTGACGTATTTTGGTTTATTAAACGGCATGGTGCGTGGGTGTGCCGCCAACAAGGAATTGTGTAAGGGGAACCACCGCGACGAGCTTGTGTCACTGTGGATCATTGCGGCCTCGAGTGTGTCGAGGGTAGAAACTTCACTGCCCGTCCCTACGAACGTTCCAGGGAAGGAGGCCACCGTTGCCGTGGAGGGGGCCCAGCTCTGGGCCTCGGAGCTCATTGAATTTCTGCTGGAGGTTGCAACGAGCGAAAGCTTCGCACTGCGACGGCAGCTACTAAACAGTGAGGGCATGAACACCGTTGAGGGCCGAAGCGTGCTGAACAACACCGGCTTCCCACCGCTGTCGCCGTCGTCGTTGTCGTTGTCTTCCTCGGGCGTCGTCAGCCGTGCCACGCGAAGCTACGAGTTTTTACCCGCACACTGGGACGCCCTCTTGAGCGGAGGATCGGCCTACGTGTGGAACCTGGCACGTATTTTGTTTAACTGCCTCTTGTCCAGTGAAGGGTGCGAGTTTATTGCAGAGGCGCTTCTCTGCATGGATGCACAGAGCACCATTTCAGAATTTATTTACCGCAGCGTGATTGCCACACTCATGCTTCTCTGTGTGGCAACCCCGAGAAATGCCGAAACACTCGCCGAGAGCCCAATCATCGAGGCACTTATCGCACGCATCACGTGTTCGCAGCCCAGTGTCTTTGCCAACGAGGTGAAGATCCTTGGAAAGCTTTGTACACCATGCCACGCCTTAAATGCGTATACAATTCAAACCACAGTGGCCCTCATGAGCCTGTTGTCGTCGCTGTACGTCGCTGAAAGGATGCTGCCAAAACTTTTGTACGTCGTGGAGCAAATGTGCGTTCGGCAAACCTCCTCAATTGACGCGGAAATCGTTGATTCCTTGTTACATGTCTTTACCTCTTCTGGGCTCCCTCGCGGCGTCCTTTTTTTTCCCGGGGGCGGCAGTGTGGCCTGTATGGTGGACCGCTTCTCCACCAAGTCTTTCGGTGGCTACAGCTTTGCCGCATGGATACGTCCAAAATGCGTTTGGCTGGAGGGCAGCCCTCTGTATTCCTTCGCGGACGGCGCATCTGGGGGCTCCATGACGTTGGTGGTTGTGGCAAATGGCCGTTCCTGCGGTCTGATGACGCGCACGCAGAACTCCAACGAGGTGACGCTCTCCAGCATTCCCGACACCTCATTCCCGGCGGATGCCTGGACGCACGTGGCGTTCAACCACAACATGTCCGGGTTCTCGATTTTCATCAATGGACGGCGTACGGAGAACAGTTTGTCCATCCCGTTTCCCAAGTCCCCCTCAAAAAAGGAGCGACTGCAGTTTGGGTTTGGTGGTTGCCCCAATGAGTACTCCTTTTTTGGCTTCATTGCGAGCATTGAGCTGTTTGATGGGTCTTTCTCAGAGAAGGAGTTGCAGCGCATGTACCAGGCGGGTCCACGGCCCTCGCGGGAGCTCTCCATCTCGTGTCACCCGCTGCTGAGCGTGGAGAGCCAAATGGTCTCCGGCACAAACAAGTTCAGCGTTGGTGTGACCGGAAGCCTGGCGGCGCGGAACGAGGGGGTCTCGGTGCACAGCGTCGTGGCGTGCAGCCCTCTAAACGTGCACGAGATGTTTTGCCGTCAGGATGTGGTGAACTGGGCGCTGCGGACCCTCGTGATGGCCAAGAAATTCTCCACAAACTTTGGCACGGTTGCCAAGCTGTGTGTGCAGTTTATCTGCACGGCGATGAAGCTAACAACGACGGAGAGGGAGCTGAATCAAATGGTAAGTGAGCGCGCGATTCTGCGGCTGCGCGAGCAAATGCTCACGTGGGAGAACATCCCCCTTGAGGTCCCGGCCATTGTGCTCGCCAGCACAATTCCACGCGGGGGAGGCAAGGTGATGCGGACCCACCCCACCACACAGGGCATGCTGTCACTGCTGCTTGACGTCGTTAATCAGCGGGGCCTGCATCCTACCGCTATTATGTGCATTTTGCGCGAGCTGAGCGATGCCTTGCTGCTTCCGGAGAATGTTGCCATCTTTCGGGCGGTGCCTGGTCGATTTGAGCGGATCTTGGCACTAAGCATGAGGCTCCCCCCGGAGTGCGTGGAGGGCGTTATTGCCCTCGTGGAGCGGCTATGTAAGGAGCCACGTGAAATGGAGCAAACGCTACTGTTCCTTCTCTCCCCATCAGCCGCTAAAACGGCTGACTTTGTGAAGGCGGAGATGCTGCGCATGCTCTTTGACATCGCCCTTACCAACACCGCCATGTGCGACCTCATTATGGGCGCCTTTGGGAACAGCGGCGTCTCCTTCCTTATTTGCCTCGTCGGCGGCAGAAACCACGGTGATGAGGCGGTGCGTATCTTCGCCCTACGCATTATATCTCTTATACATCACACCAACAAACGGTTTCGTGAGCATTTTGCGAAATGCCACGGTTATGAGGTGCTTGGGGCGGTGATGACAGGTCCCGCGGCCTCTGCGGTTCCAATTGGTCTGGCAAGCTTCAACTGTCTTTTTCAGATGGCCTTCGACGCCTTCCAACCGAACAGCGAGGGGGAGGCGGTGGCGCTGCACCTGCAGCAGGCCGGCTCATCGAAGGCCAAACGACGCCCCACAAAGCATCCAGAATACGTCCGCCATCCCGCGACGGCCGTTGGAGAAGCATGGGCTCTTCAAGGTTACATGCCTGGCTTAGTGTCACCGGAGCTGCGCGTGACGCGACGCGAGTACAGCTTTGACATCTCCCACGAGCTTAACTTTGGACACGACACACGGACTCTCCTTGACGATGCGCATCGATGCCCTCGATCCAGAGGAAACACGCACGTTGTCCTGCAGGTGCCGCAAGTGATTCACACACTCTTGTCGCTGCTAGGGCGTTTGCTGCGCGGCGCCGGGGCAGATTCCTCAAGAGTTAGTTCCATGACGGGAGAGTCTCCTGCCTCTTCCGAGGGCAATTCAGAGACAAATGTCGCAGTGCACGAGGAGCGAGGGGCCAACAACGCGGTGGACAGTGTGAGTAGGGTGTCTGCTGCCTCTCCCATGATGGAAGAAACCACAGAGGGCATCACACTGCGTGTGCTTGCGCACCTAGAGAAAATTGTCGACCGCACCGATAACGGTCAAATGCTGCTCCCCGTCCCTTGGCTGCTGTGGTTGTGGGAGGCGGTGAGACCCGTGATTGACCCCCCAAGCAGCAACAGTGTCGAGGTGACCTCTAAGCTTCCAAGGAAGTTCGTGGTCGCTGTGCAGCAGCGCGTGCGAAAAATAGTGCGCATTCTGGCCATTTTGGACCTAAGCCGCAACTACAAGGCTGGAACTGTGCGCACGCTTCGACAGATGGAGCTCCCCTCGTTCCTCACCCGCCTTGTGCTGGAGGAGATCGTCTCGCACTTCACGAAAAGTCGATGTGAGATACCAGACCAGGGCGAGGCAGCCAACATCATCAAGAACCTGGACTCGCTCCTGCACGGCATCGAAGAGGTGCTGTGGCCGCTCCCACTGGGGCTGGGGCTGGAGATTGTGAACGCCATCAGCGCGATCGCCGTCAACAACAACGCGTGGGTCCGCACAAAGATGAAAAACTCAAGTCATCTTTTTGAAACGCGGAAGCATCTCAGCTTTGTGCTCTTGACATCGACCAAAAGGTTTTCCAAGCTGGAGTCCGCCACGCTGACGCAGCTGCTGGGGGTGAATGGGAATGAACCCAACACGATACGGGTGGTGCTGCGTCGATTGATAACTGCAACATCCAACTGTGACGCGGACGAGGTCGAGGCCTTGCTTGCCACGACACGCCAGCTGATAAACAGCGACATGAATCAATTTCACACCGTACTCACTATTATTGGCGTGGAGTACCGCAGCTTTGCGGAGCTGTTGTGTGGAATTGCGGGCGGCAAAATCGCCCCCTTGTCGGCTTCCCCGGAGCGTGGTGTACAGAGCTCTAACGCCTCGTTTCCCCGTACCGAAGAGAGGGTTCCCGTCGAGGAGGTGCCCGCGTCGGCGGTTATTCATTGGAGCCTGGAGAACAAGGCCCCGTGGGAGGTTATTAGGCAGCGCGTGTGTGCCGCCACCAACTCCTTCGCCACCGCGCGTGGTAAAGGCGGTGTGGAGGCCACTGCGCTGAGTCCGTCGTCCAAGGCGAGGCGGGTGGAAGAGCGCCGGCATAGCGTCCAGAACAAGGTTGCGGCCGAGGTGGAACGCATCAACCGGGAAGTCAACTACCAGCTGAATTTGCGTGGCGCCGGCGGCGGCGACCTCTCCCCGACTCCCAACACCGGCTTTTTGAGGTTGACACAGTCGTCAGACTCGGTACTATCAGAATTTTCAAGAACTTTGCCCTTCTGAAACACACAGCGTGAGGGAGTTCCGCTGCTTGGTGGGTGTGCGTGTATTCGTAGAGAGGGGACTGGACGGGCCCTTGGCCCTTTATTGGTGTTCCCCTTCTTTTTTCTTTTTTCCTTCTTTTGGCTTGAGGGGTGTGTGCGAGAGGAATGGAGTGGCCCGACACATGTGTCTTGCAGAAGTGCCCCACACGAATGGTGGGTGCCTTTTCTCGGGTTTCGCATTGCATCTCTTCCACCGCAAAGTATGTGGCCTGTGAGGGTCCGGCCCGGCCCGGCCCGGTCCGGTCCGTCCCTTCACCGCCCCGCTTTGCGCAGACGCAGTGCCGGGGGCGTTTTTAGTTTTATTTTCCCAGCGGCTCCCCCGTTCATGGCCGGCTCTTCTCGGAGCGGGTAGTGCGCGGTCGGGTTGCCCCCCTCGCTGTTGGGGCGTCGGCGGGGAAGGAGGCCCTTGTGGCCGCACAGGCAATGCGGAGGGGGGCGTACATTATTGTTTCTTTTCTACTCCTTCTGCTTTGCCAGGAAACGCAAGTCGTGGACGCTTCTTTCTTTGTGTCCGGCTGTTGCCGGTGTATTGCCCTGCGTGCGTGTGTGCCGCACCCCTTTCCTGCCTTCCTTCCTCCGCCCACCCGCTCTGCCTTTGTTCGTTTGTTTTGCACCTCCGACTGTCGGTGCCCTCTCGAGGAACGCGCGCCTCTCCGCGTCACTGGAGGGCCGGGCGAGAGACCACATCCCGCTGCTTCCTTTTCCCTGCCCTCCTCCCCCCTCTTTTCCTCGCCGCGGCGCGTAGGAGGCATGTCGTCGCCCGAGCTAAAGCGCCACCGAGTGGAGGGGGAAGTGCCGTTTGTGCCCCCGCAATTCCACCTTCCTGCCCGGCCGCCGGTCAACGGCTTCCCGCGCGAGACGGACCTTCTCGTCCCGGGCGCCC